TAAAAAATTAACTTGAAATTGGTTTAAACTTTTTACATAGCTATGTAAAAATATTGAGCCAATTCCAACCTAAATTCTTCATGTTATGACCATTATAAAAATTAGCCAAAATCTGAAAAATGCCCAAGGCTACAGCCCATGCTTTTTTCCAAAAAATGGCTAAAAAATCATCCCCAATTTTTATTACATTTACTGACACATATTGATATCCTTATGCTATGTAGAAAGTTTGAGCCATTTCCGACTTAATTTTTTCAAGTTATGACCAATTTAAGAAATTTGCCAAAATCTGAAAAATGCCCAAGCATGGGCTATAGCCCATGCTTGTTTCAGAAAAAATGGCTAAAAATTACCCCCAATTTTTATTAAATTTTCTGATACATAATGATGTCCTTATGCTATGTTGAAAGTTTGAGCCAATTCTGACATAAATTTTTAAAGTTATGACCATTTTATAAAATTTGCCAAATGGTTTTCTTTCAGAAAAATGGCTCCAAAATCACCCCCAATTTCTATTACATTTTAAACCATAATTAAAGCAGAGCTTATCAACATTACTATCTTTGACAGATGGTCTGATTACATGTATTTGAAACTCAAGGTTAACAGGGCCCAATGCTGCTTTTTTAATACTAGCTACTGAAGTGAGTCAATGAAAAGTACACATGTTCATCTTCATGTGTAATGATTACCTTATTGACCCTGTGCACTTCTGATTTATACATGTACATGTGTATATACTGCTGCTGCAATGCTTCTCTTTCTCTCCTTCCCTACTTCTCTTTGTCTCCTATACAGGCTTTCTCCATTTTAAAGACAATTATTCTCCCATTTTTTATGTCATAGTACCAGCTCCAGTGAAATACATAGAATGGAATAAAAGAAAAGAAGTAGAGGAAGAGGGACTACTCCAGTTGTTCTTTTCAGTGAAGGATCAGTGGTATTAGTTACACTATCTCCATCATTATTGGATATTGATACACTCACAGCTACCACTTGAGCTCAGTTAAGTTTGTCTCTAGAAGCTTTGTGTCCATGAAGGACAGACACAGACTAAGAGGTATTAATTGATTATTGCCACAAAGTACAGTACATGTACAGACATATACACTATGAATGTAATATTTGTTATTAGGTTAAGGAGGAGCCTAAATTTTGTAAAATCATTGCCATGTCTACTTGTGTCTTTGTATAAGTTCATGTTTTTCACACCTCAATTACATGTAATATGGTCAAGAAATACAGTAGCACACTTGTAAAGTTTAAATACATGGAGGGAATTAGCTCCTTAACATTCTACATTCTCTGAATACAAATTTACATTAACAATAACCTTCTAGCTACATGTACATGTACATGCATGCATGCCCACGTAACTTTATTTGCTACATCTTTGACACATCTTTGTCTCCCCTTTTGTTACCTGTTTATCTTGATTATTTGGTACGTTTACTTGTATACAGACACCAACATTTAATGGCTTTAATTAAAACACGAAAATTAAAATTATGTGTACATGTGTATAGTTGATTTTTGGATGTTTTTTGGGGGATTAAAAAATAGTACATTTAGTTTCAATGTTTGTCATAATATCTATTAACGTGGTTGTAAGATCCTATGTTTCAGTTTTATCATTCCATCAGCTTTTTTCTTGGCAGTTTAGTCAGTTTACTGTTTTGTCTCATAAAAGCTCATGTAGTTGTTACTTGTCCAATAGTCAACATGTTTTTAATCCTATTTCTTCTTATCCAGAGTGCTTTGTCACTTGACTCACTTCATATTTTTATCAATGGTGAGAAAGGAGTTGATTCCGTTCATTGTTTTTATATC